GCAGCAAATTAAAACCGGAACCTGGTGGCAATGATGAATCTGTAAGCCACTCAGCTGTAAGGGACGCATATGATATGTCTCTCATGTTATATAATGGAATTGTAGAGACTTCAAGGTTGAGTGACAAACAAGCAGCCTCGCGATGTGTATAAACGCCTTCCTCCGAAATCCAAAGCTATCCTTTGAATGACTTAATTTGAGAGCTTCGCGTAATTAAAGTCGTGCGATTCATGTTAAACCATCGCGTGCTCATTTCTATTGTAGTAATTCTAGCAGATGATACATTTGCAAGTGATAATGAAAACACAAAGTCGCGAATGATTATAAACTGTACGATTCTGGTACATTCTACGTGACTTTGCTAAGTTTTGCAATATCAAAAAAAAATATGTCGTAATCATCGTAAACTTTATTTACAGGGAGTAATTAGTAAACTCTCTATTGAGAATTGTATATATGGCAGTAAAAATAAAGTTAGCTGATAATTATAATTCATTTTACATAAATTTGTTCTAATTAGTATAGCGTGTATTATTTGAAAACATTACCACGTAAAATAATCTTCGAATCTATAAAATTCGACTAAACGTGTCTGTCACACTATCGAAAACAAATTTTAAAATGAAAATTGACTAGAAGACGAATAAAAATAATTTAACTAAAATTTGTGACATAAACTTGACAATGACACGAATCTAAGAACATTTTCACGTATTATACTTAATAAATTTTGCATCCACAATGCTATGTCGATATTTGTCATCTGGAAAGTTACTTTAAATAGAGCAGTCGCCTCTATTACGATCACCTGGCGAAGTTTTATAAATTTTCTCTAAGACAAATATTTTCGCTATTGTTTATGACAGTAGAGGAAATATAATTAAGTACTTAAAAGGTAAATAATTCAAATATCTTAGTAACTAAAATAATAATAAAGTTTACATCATGACAATTAAAAGTACGCTTTGCGCAAAACATGTGCATACGCTCGATTTGGTCTAATAACATCGATTAATAAAAAGGGAAAGCTAATCAAATTAATTTTATATTAGGCCCCTAATATTCAAGAATTTTGACTAGTCAATTTAGATACATATGATGCAAAGTAATTAGATCAACTTTGAGTTTTATTAATAACACTTTTATTACGGTGAGATCAACAAAGATAACATAAATATTACTTTCACTAGCATGGAATGTTACCATTGTATACAGTTTCAAAGGTACTTTAAAAGCACAAATAATTATAAAGCCATACATGTATATTGATCTAACACTATGCTACTTTCAAACAAATATTAGTATAGGACATACCTATCCAATTGTGTATATTCAGACTTTTGAATAATGTATTTTCATTGGGACTATTACATACTAATTAAATATACGCTAACCTTTATTTTAAATAACAACATTATAATGAAAAGATTTTCAATTATTCGATTTATACACTACATATACATAAGAGCAAAAATTAGTACAGAAACATGTAGGAGTACACATTAGAGCACTTTTAAGTATGCAAGCTGATAAATGCATTTGGCGTCTTGTACGCAGAATAAGCTATCAAGACTCGCAGTGGTCTCATCATTACAAGGTAAGAATTGATTATATATTTACATTTAAATATATAACTACTCAGGTCACATTGGTAATATGAATATAAGAGAAATTAAGTTATTATAATATGATAGATTTAAACGGAAGTTTTGATTGTATATTGGTGTCTCATCATTATTATTTTAATCGATAATCGCCATCAGGGTCAAAGACTCACTCAGTGCAAAAAAACGGGGAGATGAGCCCAAAACCTGCCATGCGGGTTAATGCGGATCGGATGGTGTTAATGGTAAGAGTTTTGTGGCATATTTTTTGAGTCTGTCAAACTGCCTCTTCTTAATTGGACGTTGTATATTGAATACAACATACAACGTCCTGGATTATCCAACAAATTGGATATTGTGTACAGGAGTATCATCATATTTTTTTCGGTTACACGTGACTACAATAACGTTTAAACAAAACCAAATTAAATTGGTTTATTTTTAGTTTAATTTGGTTTAGAGTGTGTACCCAACTGGATTGACAATAACTACTGTAGATAAAACAACCAACGGCTTAATGTGGGTACCGAAGCACAACGGACCTCAAGAAAAAAAAATACTGGTTACCCATCTCATCTGTGATATGATCTAAAGCAAATCTTTAACCATTGTAACATGAAATTCCACTTTTTGTTTTTAATATTTTAATAGAGTGACCTCATACTCTAATAAAATCAGATATCAGCCAAAAGAGAAAAAAAATGGACGATTCAAAAGTACACACTCTGTATAAATATATTTGAATAAAGATAATGAAGATTATAAAGAATAATGTAATAATGTAGCTCGGTAACGTAGTGGATAAGCGCCGTGGCCCGCAATTGTTGTTGTTTATGAACTTTCGCAAGGGCTGAGTGATAAAAATAAAAGTATTTTCGTGTTTCGGAAGGCACGTTAAGCCGTTAATCCCGGCTGCATTCGTTAATACCCTCCAATCCGCATTGGGTCCACGTGGAGGGTCAGGGCCCAACCTCCTTAACCATCCATAAGGAAGGCCTGAGCTCCTGCAGTGGGTACGTATAAGGGCCGATGGTGATGATTGCAGGTAATTTAGGAGCTCAAGGAGCTCAATGATCTTGTTTCTGTATCAGAAGTTCAGTATCATTAAGGCAGGAAACCATTACTAGTGATGGGCCACCAATACACAACAGCAACCACTTCTACCAGCTGCTAATTATATCGATTTTAATATAAAACATAGTAATCGAGCTGTTTGAGCAGCTCAAGTACCGATTATGTAATTTTGAGTGCAAACAGCAATCACAACGGGCGTATTACATGGCGTGAGCGTAATAACAAATTACAAGAAAAGTAAATTTTGGCGAGTATTTGCAATGTTTTATCATGTTACACAAATAAATAATTGTGGTATATGGCGTTCTTTAGTTTTTGTATTTCAGTAAAGGTGAATGATACCATTGATTAGGTATTAACCTATGAAGTGTTTGTAAAACTAATATTTTCAACTTGCGCTGTTTGAAAACCACTTTATTTATTATTTACATAAGTGATACTTTAACACCGGTAAGTTTTAGATAAACTTTATATATAAAAAAAATGATGTCTCATAAAATTAACAACACAGACTTCAATAAATTAAAGCAACCGAATTTAATTTTAGTGACAAACTAGGTGTGAATTTATTTAAAATAATTATAAAGTTAAAAAAAAAGCATTCATTTTGCAAGTCGGTTAAAAATACAGTATATAAACTATCAGTGCCGAACTATAAATTTTATAAGATAGGTTACAAATATATTTCTTTTAATTACCAATTTTATTACCAAAATTGGTAATTAAAAGAATTACCAAATATAAATTTCATAGGTTAACACCTAATATTTTATAAATATGGGGACCGAGCATTTATCAGAAACTACTTATTGGAAACAATAGTAAGAAGGTTTTATTTTTTATAAAATTGTCTCAACTTGGATAAGAAGTATTGAAACAACATTTTGCTGATAATATGGGTAAAGCTAATATTAACAACCAAGCTTAATACCTAATTGTAACCATAGCTACCCAAAAATAACCAAATAAAAACTAATTTAAAAATCTTAAAATGCAACTTCAATATTCATACAAAATATATCTTAATTAGATTATTCACATATTGGTGGTGTTCGTTTTCGTATATATAAAGCTCTTTAATTTTAGAATATTGAAATCTATTTAATATTTTAAATTAGTTTTTACTTTACAACAAACGTTACCTTCAATAAATCATACATACACTTAAAAAGTTATTAAATAATTTTAATCTATGTATGTTAATAAATTTCAAGTGTATAGTATAACAATAAAGTGTCTACAGTGAATATATAAATATTACATGCATTATTGACATTGATCACAAACAAGCAACTTTACTTTATTATTGCCTCTAATCAGTTTTTAAGCGCACGTACAGGATGTCGCGAGGCGTCACGACACGAATGCCTCGAGAGCTAACTGCAGAGATTTCAAAGCACAACAGAACGTGTATACGAGCCTAATTTCACATTAAGTGATACTGATATTTGCAGACACTTTAAACGAAAACGTGAAACAAATTTCTGGACCGACATATTTTAGTAGCCCAGAAGAGATACAAGTCTCTGAGAGACAGGAACATTATAAACTTTTTAAAGGTTAGCAGATTGAATACCAGATACACAAACGTCCAATAAAATTGTCATTTGTTGAAAGCGACATTAACGATACAAAATTTCAACTTTAGAGAACTAATTAGAGCCTAAAGTCGTAATTAAATCTTAATGAACATTTGTGCTGTGTGTAAAGTTCAAAGCTCCATATGGTACCGCACAATTCCAAAATATTTTATAATAATCGTATATTTCAGTCTGAGGCATGTTGGTGATCTATTCACTTTGCACGCCTCGTGATGTTTGTACTCATGCTAATGATACCTTATTAGGAATATCTCAAAGAATAATAAAAAATCAAGGGCCAAAGAGCGTAAATTGCTTTAAACATAATATGCTACAGTTCATTCTATTATAGGTTTGCATTAAGGCATTTTGTAATTACGGTTTAAACATTCAACATTTATTAATATATTACAGATCTAGATTATAAATTAGCTGCAATAACTGCAGCAACAGCTAACGGATTTTAACAAATACTTATTCGATCTGCGCACAAACAAAGTTTACCTACTATGGAGCAGTCATGTAATTGGTTAAGGCGGAAAACTATTATTATACTTATCCACAACTTTTCTAACCAGTTATATATTAAATACCTTATATTTTAGTACATACTTCGGACTAGAATTTCATGAAGGAAAATTTAACAACACTTAAAATAATGTTTTTGAATGATGTTATTTTTTTTTATTATAAATCAATTACTACCAGCCAATTTTCTCGATATACATATATTTTCATAAAATGTTTCAAGCTAATATCTTTTTAGAAAATTTAGTGAACTTAATTTTTGGCGTTTCATCACAAATATGTTTACATAAGAATAGTGCGTTACAGCAAAATATAATGTTATTACTGGCATCAATCATTTAGAACATTTAAAATAAATATAAATTTGCGTATATGAGGCACTGGCAGTAGACAACGCTCTCTTCGAGGTAGTATGCGAAACTCCAACACATTTTATAAATATATTCTATTTACGTCACATGACGAATAAACACATTATCACTATGAGGCACACTAACTTATGCAATAAAAAATATCAATTTATCATTAGTCACCATTGAACAAAATCATTACCCGTGAACACATTTCAATTTAAGAATTAAGTGTATAATTGTGAGGTGATATTGTCACGTACACCCACCGGAAAGCAATATTACACGAAGTAAAAAGAATACTGTGAAATCTTTCAATGAAAAGACATTATTATTATTATATTAAACTGACAAATCGTAAATTTATTGAAAATTAAATCTAACGTACATAATTAATTCTTCTTTTCTACTTGATATACTGATAAAATTCACTATTCGTGCGCGTTCAAAATATTACAAATTAAAGTAATATTAAATGTTTACATATACAGATCTAAGAGAATAACTTTTAAAAATCAAATAGAATATATAATGTGCCCTTAATAAATTATCAAATCTGACAAACAAGGGATTAATACAAATAGAAATATTGAATAAATATAAATAAGTGTCGTGAAGGAGTATCACGTCAAAGGGTAAAGTTATTAAGAAAAGAGCGCTGAAAATGGCGATTTCGCAAACTTAATTAAAACGAAAAAAAAAAAGGAAATAAGTTTCGATTACTGAACCCATGAAGCCGGTACCCATAGAGGTTCCGATTGTACTTTCCATGATGCCTTCAGAAGCTGAGTGAGAGCACCAGCCAAATTCTCATTCACTATATCCTCGTCAAACATGTATCCGTATAAGAAATTGATGCGGTTCGATGATCTTATTATGTCGGTGAATTCTTCCTCCTAAAACGTTATGATTTTGATTAAATCCAACAAATAATACTAGTATAACAGCTATTCTAAGTGTATATATGTTGGGAACACGAAAATATTGGACATATTTCAGTAAAATATGTTATGGGATTCATTATGAATAAATAGTATACATATAACTCGGTCGCGTGTAAATATTCGGTATTCAAGAGAGTTCCATCGCCAAAAGTTTGCGAACCGCTGCTGTACGCAATACACGCTATGACCATTTCACACAGTTGCAACACGATCATTGAAGTAATAATGGTAGAAAATTTTATAATAGTGTGTTCAGTATGAGTTTCAATAATCTAGAACTAATAAGAAATGCCTAATATTAAGAATCGCTAAAGCAGAGTTGCCAATCCCTAATAAACAATTTTTTTACTTTATTATAGATGGCACAGTGTTTAGAACGCTCAGTCTGCGATGCACAGGTTAAGTAACTTTCGCAATTGCCGCTCATAAGATGGATGACCAAAAATTCATTATCTCGAGCTTCTTCATGCTTCATATAGAAATAATGAAGCATATAAACAACTGAGAATATGAAACAGTCTAAACTCGCAAACCAGAAATTATTCTATTTTACTTTTGACTACAATCACTAATTTACCTTAAGTAATATGGGGAGTAAAATACCGGATTAGTTTATTGGTACTTTAAGTATCTTTCGCAATAGCCGCTCATAGAATGGGAATCAAAAATTTATTATTCCTTATAATTCCCCCGTATTTAGGAAGGCACATGCAGCCGTTGGTTCTGCGTCTACAGTCGTTCAGAACTACCAATCCGCAATGGGCCTACGTGCTGGGTTATAGCCGTTATTTGATTTCATCCTTAGAGTACTAGTCATTTCAATTGGAATTTCGCATTCGTATTTATATGCAACGGATACAAGTTTTTTTCGGTTTCAATTACTTAACGGGGCATCAGCGATCCACAACCAAAATTAGGTTTAAGATTTGTTCTTGTATTTTATAAGTTTAACAAGTTTGTGCAGAGAAATAAATCTTTATTAGTATTATGTATAAACATAATATTTTTTTGGTCAAATACAACAAATTGTGTCTGACCTACATGGAAACGCATCTTTAATTATAATAACATATTTGGTGCAACATACAATTATTGATAAGTAATTTGCATAAATGTATAAGTAATTTATTAAATATAAAAAAAGCTTAGCATTTTCAGTAAAAAAAATGCGACTTATCATTGATATTATAAAAAACAAATTAAAACAGATCGCTTGAGCAGTATGTATAATCAAATTAAATGAAAAAAATATATATATCAAGGCATAAAAAAATATTCTTTTGTATTTTTTTAACCTGTAAATCGAATCAAAGTAGCTAGTAGTTGTCATGACATTGGATTATTATGAGAATGTTTTTAATCCCGCCTTAGATTTATGAACTGATGGCATAGTGTCGACTTTCGCAAGTGCTTGTAACATAATAAAGTCGATATAAACTTTACACAAATGTATATATACCCACATAAAATCCGCATAGCAAAACCCTTAAACATAAGCAATTTTACATAAATCCAATTACTTTACGCCGCAATGCAAGTGTAATCATAGTGAAATATTCAAATTGAAAATTTATATAAATAATTTTTACCGTAAATGCTCTCGAACTCTCCTTGTCGAAAGTAGAGCGTGCATTCGCCAGTGTCCGCGTTTCAATAAGTTTCTCTAAAGGAGGAGGCTTTATGAAAATTATGTATGGACGTAGACGAGGCGTTCGTAGCATTTTGAGCGCTTGCCAATGCGGGCTTAGTACGCAAACTCGACCTAAAATAAAAAGAGAAAACGGTGTATTTAATTGATGTATTTAAAAAATAAAATGCAGCCAATAAAACAAAGTTTTACTTCACTCTCTTTTTTAGGTTTCAGTTCCTCACAGCTGATTTGCTCCAAAATTAGTGCACTAAAACTATACTGACTAAATATATTACGATCTATTAGTACAACTCGTACTTCGTCGTTTTTATTCACTCATTTAACTATCTCAATGTCTTATACGACTTAAGTCACGCTCAACTCTTTTGCAGTTTTTAATCGTTCCTCTGTAGGATGGCCAACACGATTCGAATTATCGAATTTTGTTCTTTGGGCTGTATGTAAAGTATTTTTTGACATATATATATAAACGAAAAAAAGTGTATATAAACAAATTGGCTATAAACATCATTTATTCATCCATTTCAACGTCATTCATTAATTTCCTGTTTTAACGTTTATTCTATCATTCGCATACAGCGTTCGCTAAACGAATGGTTCATAATACTCTTTGCAGTCTAGCAAATCAGTAGAATAAGAGCGCTCGACACGAGATGAATGATTCAAAAAGAGCTCCTCAAGACGTATATTACTTCTGATAGGACTATAAAGAAACGATTTTTTTCAATAATTTACGATGCAACGGAGGTAGGACCTGACACTACCTCTGTTGTGCAGACAATCTTTACAAATATGAATTTAATAAAATTCGTATGAAGACAAATATAATAGGCACTTAGTCATGTTGATTTGTACAAGTTTATAGTTTTACGTCACTTTAATACTAACCTGAATTGATAATGCTTTCAACACTCTCAGCAGATGTCCCATAGAGATTACCTTTGTATTCACCGTGTTCTATAAATTTACCATCGGCAATATCTTGTTCCATTTTCTCACGACTCACAAATATGTATTCTTTGCCATTTTGTTCGCTGGGTTTCAGTGGTCGTGACGTAACTGGTGAAATTAATATATAATTATGATTAAATCTACATCTAGCAGCACGGTATCGTCCTTTTCTCTCGCTCAGAAGCGCCATTTGCTAGAGCGAGAAAATAGCGGCCGTGCAATTATTTTCTGCCGAAACTAGTTCAAAGTTTAAAAATACTGACTTTTAATTAAGAATATTAACTATTTACCGTTTGAATAGTATAAGCGCTGTCAGATGAAGCTAAACCCTAATAAGCGTTCTATTGTGCGAGGATTCTAAAACATTTTCTATGAGTAATTTATTATAAAGTGAAAAAGTTAAAAAAGTTATTTAGAGGTGACGCTAATCATCGTAAAAAAAGTTATTTAGAGTAACATCAAAATGATTCTACTCTAATTCATAAAATACAATAATTCATCCAAATATGTCCAACTTTCATAATAGATTTCGAAAGAATCTTGTCATTTCGATGTATAATCAAGAGTGTAATAATAATTAAAAATATTTCCACCAAAATGCTAAACATACTTAGAGAAGATGTATATGTACTTGAATAGGGGTGTAGACAACTACTTTGATTTATTATTTTATAGATATACATGAAATATATCTAAAAAATATATATTTTTATAATAATAAGTTAAAATCTAAAAAGATAAAATTTCACTCGAAAACGCCACTTATATCATGGCGTTGTTATGACGTCATTGCCCGCTGAAACTATTATCGTTGTATGTATAACGTTATTCTCCAAGTTCTGATATGAGTAATAAGAGCGCGACAGCACGCGCTGTTTGCGGTCACGTGACGAAGAGTATAAAATACTTGTTTTTTTTTTATCAATTTAAGCAATATAATAAACATAACAGTGTAATTGGTGGTTATAGTATATATTAAACGTAAGTATTTATTTTCATTTACTGTCTACACCCGTATTAGATGTAAAGTAAAACTCACATGGTACGGGGGTGACATATTTCTCTGGGTCCGTTGCTATAAGACGTCTACGCAACTCGTTCCTACCAACACCGGGGGCACCGACCAAAACGATAGGTCTCACAAGACCCGGTCGCGGATACAATCTCGCCACCTCCTCGTACGTGGGTATCATTTCACGGTCATAATCATCGTTCTCTCTGTAGTCGTATATTATTTTCTTCACTTTTGGTGTGGACTTGCACGGAAGTAGAGCCGTCGCTGTGGGCGTAGGAGAGCATGGTGTCTTCGGACCGCAGTCGGAATTTGTAGTGGACGAACTGCAGAGTGCTGGTTTACCTTAACGATATTAAAACAAATTGAAATAAGCACTAAGCCAGTGTCTTTCAAGCTGTGGGTCGCGACCCCTAGAGGTCATGGAGCTTTACTTGAGGAGTCGACAATAAAATAAAGGTTTTTATACATATAGCAAATCACAATTTATGGGAAAAAGAAAATACACTTAATGGACACATACAATGAAAATATTACATTTATTTAAGAGCGGTGGCCAAACAGCACTCGTGTCTATGCATAAGCTATTAATACAGTGTAGATTACTCTGTTGCGGCACTGGTTATTTTGGCAAAGCCTAAAAATTCTGAGGAGGCTTGAATTCATTATTTTGCAATAAAATATCAAACCGTGGTGCTAGTTTAAAAAATGTAAAATTAATAAAAGTTAGTAAAATAAAATTAACAAATGGGGTCGCCAAAACCGTTCACCTCAAGAGGGGTCATGTATTCAATAGGTTTGAAAAACATTGCACTAGACGGATATGCCCGCAGGACCTTCTGCTAAAAGTCCATCTAATGTTTCTAGTGTATGAACGTTGTATTCACTACACAGACCTATACTAGCCAGCGGGCATGTCTGCAGATTTGCCTGCGAGCTTTTCCGTCTAGTGAATTCGCCGCTTAAATCGTAAAATTCTCTTTCTCTTACGATCAAATAATCGTCCCTGTAAGTGTCAACGTATTTTATAGGGTAAACGTTTAATGTCACGAAATAAAATAACACTTTTGCCATAGTTTAAATGAAAAGTGATTTTCCTTAAACAGTATAAAAATACTTTTGATTTCATCACCACCATTCAACGAAATTGAAACAAAGACATTCAAAATTAACTTGAATTGTAAATCTGCAATAAAATTACAGCATAATTATTATAGAGAGGTAAAATTTCTAATTTTTTTCGTTTATAGAGGGATAATATTCGGAAATGCTGAACTGATAAGGAAAATTCTTTCACCTACGGGAAGCTACATCATATGCGGGTGATATAGGCTATTTCTCGACTTTCACAAGTGTTTGCAACAGCCTAGACTGCATAAATAATTTTGATTTGATTTATATGCCGCGGGGTAACAACTAGTAATAAAAATAGTTACAATAACACACAATTAACACTTGCAATTACACCTTAGGTTACCCTGCAAGAAAAAATAATATCAACTAACCGTCCATAGTTTGCGGGTCTGTTTGACGTTCATGAATAATACGCCCCTCCTGTAAAGCTCTGGAAGGTATTAGTCCCGCCCTCATTACTCTGTCGCCTTCACGTCGAGCTTGCCACCTAAAAGTATTGTGCAACTTTAGGCTCTGACACCACGTTATTATGAGTCATATTTCTATTGTACGATCAAACAACCTTAATTCTGCAAACACAGGAATCTAGAACACTTGCACAAAAAAATAACCTCCAACTATTTTCTCATATAAGAAATACGTTAAGTTAAATACGGTCGTGCACCAGTAGCAAACTGATATGGAAACATTTTGAAACTAATTTTGATGATCTCACTCAATCTGTCATTGCAATGTACCTAAGGTGTACCAGGTTGTAAATGGCATGTATTTAGCTTTTAGTTAAGATCACATCACATACTCACATACTCGGTAGAAGTACAGCAATATTACCAAACGTCAAAAACATGGTAGCAAAATACGAAAGAGGTAGTATTTAGATTTGAATGGTTTGCTACTGGTTACTGGTGTGAGTATGGTGCACCTACCCTACTTAAATCCTTCTCCGACTTATTTTAATACTGACCAGTACGCGTCGTCTTGTGATACTATGTGTAGAACATCACCCTTTTTAAAATTCAATCCAGCTTCTTTACAGGGTATATAGGGATCTTCCGATGAATCATAATTGAACAGTGCTCGGACTCTTACTTTGCTTTCTCTTGATCCACCTTTGCCGAATGACGGCACCAATTTGAAAGTAATAGTGCCTTCGGAACTTTGCTAAAATAGAATACACGATAACAATGTAAAAATGATGTGGTCTTGTAAATTTATATATTAAAAGGTAGAGGTAATTAACTGACTGATGTATAAAAGCACAGTTTTACGGAATGGATCGATCTGAAAATTTACCCAAAAAGGCTTAGAACATTGGAACTTTCGTTTTATTTTTTTACGAAAACAAACAGTCGTTTACAGTTTAAATGTTTCCATTACTAAAATTACTTACTTATTTAAAAACTAAGATTTTTTTTGCGGAGCTGTGGAAAGTTGGCTTGATAAAAATCGCAAATCCGACAAGTTGCACTCATTGTGGTTACTTAGTACTTAGCGACGCCCGCTAACCGCCCGAATTAGTGAAATTCACGTCGTCGAAATTACTAATTGTGTGATCAGTTACTTATTATTATAACATAGGGGTCCACTATAAAAGGCTCTTGTTAAATCATACAATATGTTGTTTTTAAGCTTTGATACATTTACGTTAGAGTGATAGTTTTTCACGTTCCCAAACGGTAGCAATCCCGCGAAAAACTATCATCATACTGAAATGCTTAAATGATATAACCGCATACACACCAGTATAGCTAGAACATCTGCCGGTGTTTTATTTTCAACACTGATACCATTAACTTCAATCACTTCATCACCAGCGTGTATAAGACCAGATCTATCTGCGGCACCACCGTGCATTACCCGAGCTATGACGATCTTTCCAGTTTCTTCGTCAGTTTTTATTGTAGCTCCCTGATGAAAATAATATTTTTGCCATGAATCATTTATAAGTATAAAAACAAAGCAAAACAATTAATTATATCGTAACAAAAGAGGTTCCTTCTACGTTAACATTGATTCGAAAAATAATCCGTATAAAGTGTAAGCCTTCGTTTATAGGCTTTCTTTTATTTTTTAATTGGCTTAGTGAAATAAACGGTTATGTAAAAATATCAGATCAAAATTTAAAACAATATAACTACTAACAACAAAATTGACGAGCGGTCCATTCATTTTAGAATGGATCTACATTATCTTTGTTTTGGATGTACAAAAAAAAATTCTATCCATTTAAATGGGAAAAATAAATCTATACTGTCATAGCGCTGCACTAAACGAGAAGTCCGTAGTTGCATTTAAGAGAATAGCATATGTAGCTGCTGTCATTTATTTGACAATCCATCCACAAGATGAAGCGAGTTTACCGTTCGGTTTCGTCAGCAAGCAGTAGCAAAACTATCTTTGTAGCCCGCGACTATTAAAGAATCCTAGTACGTCTATACAGTATGCTTTATGTTTTTTACAAATAAGATACTTCTAAATTAGAAATAATCAAAATAAATAAAGTTTGAATATAATTATATTAAATTTAGTTCTCTGTATCAAACGACGAGTCGTAACAAAAAATAGAAAACAAAAACGAAAATTTAATTCATGATTTGTATACGTTTTATAACAATTAACAATATTTATTACATAATCCTATTAATATTATAAAGGCGAAAGTTTGTAAGTATGGATGTATGGATGTTTGTTACTCTTTCACGAAAAAACTACTGGACGGATTTGGATAAAACTTTACAGCAATATAGGTTATACATCAGAATAACACATAGGGTACTTTTTACTGGGAAAACTTCTCACTCCCACGGGATACCGACTTCCACGCGGACGAAGTCGCGGGCGTCCACTAGTTATTCATAATTACGTTATTTACCAATTCCATTCTAATTTTTCGTAACATTTGATGATAATAAAGCATACTTTAAAATCATATCAACATGAAAATATTTATGGTGATATAGTTTATATTTGAACTTTCATAAATATCGATTTAATTTTTAAAAACTATAAAATACGCCAGTGCCCATATACTTATAGGCATCTATTTGAACTGTTTTGATCGGGGTTTGGAAAAATACATAAGAAAATATAATTGACAAAACACAAAAGGCATGTAGCAAAATATATATTTAAAGCAAGGTGTATTGTGTGCGTATTATTAACTAAAAAGCTATGATGAAAAAATATATAAAAAACCATTAATTTATCATAGGCGAGACAGGGCACACAGTACATATTGCATGATCATCAAGAGATAGCAGCTAATAAATCTCGAAACATCAGGTAAACGAAATAAAAATGACATTGTGAAAGGTGTGAAACAAAATATCATGGGCAAAATATATGTGATGACAGGAATACGACCAAGCATTTGAGGTAAGTATTGCATTTAATAATCATATCCATTCCTATTTATACTTACCACAATTGGCTCTGCACTCTGAGCACCACCCTTTCAAAATAAACAAAATTTGAAAATACCTTTACACTTTATTTTGAAAACTATATTTTCTAATCATATTTGTTTGATTACACAATGTTATGGTAGAAAATTCTTGAAAAGAAGTGATCAAAAAATTTTATAGTTAATTTCCTTTAATCAAGGAAAATCAAGATCTTTAAACATTTTATAGAATATATAATTAATATGATAAATATGATGTAGGCATGCATATATTTATTTTAGCTTAGATTTAGTACATATTAGTTTCTAAGAGATAAATAATTGGGGTCAAATGGATGTTGTAAAAAAATTGCTAATATTTTGTTATGTAGGCATTATAAAAGTATTTCAGCCAAGTTGATTTAATTTCAAAACTTTTGTCATAGGTTGTGCTGACAACCCAGTGTTATTTTTAAACTAATGTGTACATAGACACATTAGTTACAAGCGCTAGTTGGCTGCCGTCAACAAAGTGCCGCTGGACGATCCCTAAGATGGACTTCTAGAATAATTGTCACTGAGTAAAAATAATTTATAATAATATTTCAGTAAAGAAATGAGATGAGATGTCTTAGGATGAAAACGGAACAACCCGTTTCAACACAACATAGTTTTACAGTCTCACACTATAACAAAAACAAAAATAAGATTTTTGCTAAACTGTTTGTTTTGCCTTCCTTGGCAAACGTCGGATATCCAGGCCTGGCGAATAGTGTCGTAAACAAATATAAAGTTATTTATATTTAAACTCCCAAGATTATATTACTTAACCCAGACCCATTTAAGGCAAGAGTGAATGGTTGCTATTGGACAAAGTCATTCCACCATAGTTTTCATTCATGCTTTTGGACTGGATTAAGATTAAGAGTGAGCTTATTCTGAATAAAAAAAGGATGTATATATTCATTAGGATGTGGTGAATATCAGAGGATGTATTAGATGTGTGATTATAAGATTTGGCCTTCTCTCCACTACTAAAAGAGAAAATTAAACAAAATTTAGGTCACTGGGCGGTCAGGCAGAGTTGTATTATTAATTTTAAGGAGTACATAAACTTGTTCAAAACTCCAATGAATTATCATTTTGTGAATATTTGAAACAGCAAGCAACTGCATGTATCAGTATAAAGTATGTACATATTTTATTTCCTAAAATGGTTAAATAGCAAGATTGAGCAAATAGCAAAGTTATGTGTTAAGACCCTGAAATAGTACGTAACATAATGAATGTACAGTAAATTTAATTCTAGAGTTATCATTTAAATTACAGACATTTTTTTAGTGTGTTTATACAATCTGTTTGGTCAGTGGTGTCGGAACTTTTAACGGGCTATAGTACGATCAATTTGATCGACAAATACCCCTCCAAACTTGAGCTTTCTCTTACTATTGTATAATAGCAGCTATTTTTTTTTTTTTTTGTAACTGAGGCACGTAAAAATGTGTTAATTTAACAATATCTATCCAGTTAGAGGTCCTACAAGTACAAAAGAGATCTCATTTGACAGATAATCAAAATATTTAGTAAGAGGATGTAAAAAACAAATACCTAAAAAAAATGGGTTGCTAACCTATTTGTTTTTGGTTATTACTCAGATACATACTTTAGCTGCCAAATGAAACATCTTTTGTGCTTATAGAACCTCTATTTGATATTGTTTACACACACATACATGCATGCTTCAGTTACTAAAAAAATTAAGTAGCTGCCATTACACAATAGTGGGAACAATTCAAGTATGGAGGGTTATTTGTCAATCAAATTGATCATACTATAGCCCGTTAAAAGCTCCAACACCCCTGATTAAACAGATTGTATATTTTTTTAGTTAAATATTTAAGGAATATAGTAAATGTTCATATTAATCTCTCAGTTGTGAGTGCCATATTCCACTGTTATCCTTTCTTTTGATAATATATTTTGTTTGCTGTAGCAACCTATAATTAAGATCTAATTTAATAATTTGCTTAAACCGTTAAAATTTTATTAGTGCTCAAATAAATATAAATGAAGTATACGATTCTAACAATAATACTCTAGAGAAAAATAATGATGAAAAAAATATACAAAGCTTTACTTATCTTATCACTTTCATGGGATTGTGCCCAGTTCATTAAGCTATCCTAAAGACTTAATTTTAAATAGCTGCTATTTCTAAATGATTAAAGAGTTTATTTGTAAAAACCAAATTTACTTGTTAAACATTTGACTAAATACATTAATTCAACATAGTATAATGATTCTATATATATATATATATATATATATATATATATATATATATATATATATATATATCCAATACCAATGCTATGGTCATAAAAAAATAATATTTACCAGAGCTGATACAAATAGATTTGTAAATAGTAGTATTTCATATCAGTATTTGAATATAGAAAAAAATTGCAAAAGCCATAAGTGTTTTCAGCCTTTTTTAATCTAAGTGTAACAATTAAATAAAAGTGAATTTGATACTGGGCTTTAAATATGAATATGTATCAAATAGAATGTCTCTAAATTTCAACAGGAAATAATAAAAAATGCTCAAAATACTTATAGCCATGAGTATGTTTAAGTTAATATAAAAAAATGTTATTAAGTTAGTTGTTTTACACACTTTAAGTAACAAGCATTTAATAAAAGGTACAATTTCAAAGCTTGACTACATTGTAAAACATGTTAGGTGAATCTTTCATTCAAAATTGTATAAACCCTAATTTTTTTAAAGACATTTAATACATACCAATGGTTCATCACTTTTTACTAGTTGCACAATTTTCACTGTTTCCTCCTCTTCATCGGCTTCAGGTGGAATATCAGGAAGATGTGGGTAGTAATCCTTTTGTGCAACAGCATCATGGGTACATAATATAGCCTAGTGTATGAAAAAAAAAAGTATTTAAAATAAACACTTACAAATGCAAAATTGACCACTTGACTGTTTCGGTAAACAAATTTCAAAACTTTCACATGATCATATTAAATACCACTATTAAATTTAATAATCATATTTTTATTCATTAATTTAAATTGTCATACAAATCAATCAGTCATGTAACATTTCGAGCAGTGATGTCACATTCAAATAAACATGAGTGCTTGCACTTGCAACAAAGATGTTGGCATTTAGTTTTTTTTTAAATATTACATCACACAATCTACCTTTGTGATTTCAGTTCATTTCAGTTCATGTAAACCATTTATTATACAACAAGTTAATTTTGCAAAAATAAAACATACAATATATTTTAATTTAAAATACTGTATTGTTATGTGAACACACAAGTAAGTTACCATTTCCAACATATAGCATAATTTATAGCATACTAAGTGTCAAGTAGCCAATTGATTCATTTAACATTATGACTTAACACAGTAAAGATGCAAAATAATTAAGTTAACACACTAACTTGAAAGTGTGGTTTGTGGAGCAGGCTTAGCAGTTCTTGATATTCTTGAGACCCAGAAACTATATCACTAAGTAAATCCAGGACTTCTAATGTAACTTGCATAGCGTTTGACAGTAAAGGGTAGAACTTATCATCTTTTCCTTTAGCTACTATTTTATTATGTACTTGAACAAGTGCATTGAGTTGTTTTGACTGAAGCAGCTCACTCAGAAATGCAAAGTCTTCACCTCCTGTTTGAATTTCTTTCAAAGAAGTCAAAAGACGTGTTAAAGCTAAAAAATAATAAAATATTATTAATTACTCAACCACTTTTCATATTTCTCTTAGAGATTAATAATAGGAGGCCATATAGGTAATTCAGGGTTAATCAAAAGGGTCGACAAGACTGGGTTGCTTTGTAACTAACTGGGTTTGCAATACTTTTTTGTTTTGTTTGCAGTTCCATTATTTGAGTTGACATTTATTTGAATCTATAATTAAGTATTTGATTTCGATATTTAGATTATTTCTTTTATTTTATTCTTAGTCAGATTTTAGACTCCATATTAAATGAATTCCCATGTGAAGTATTAAATCCTAATAATCATCTTTAAGGAAGAATTTCGAATAACTTACCTGGGTCCCAGTTTTCAGAAGGAGCATCCATTATTAGAAGAATAATTATTAATGCCAGACCATTTTAAATAAACATAAGTATAGTCTCAAAGATTTGAAGCATCACACTTTATATAGCTTGCAAGAAAAGCCTACCATAATTTAACGAAGAATACACATTTGAATTTGAAGTCATGTTTTGTGCAGATAGTCCAGTACCTATCGAAGGATTTAGGTATCTATATAACATAAGAAATTACACTACGAACAATGTTTATTTATACTAACTAACAGAATCATTCATTTTTACTACGTTATTTCCCTATAAATTCAGATTTTAATTTTTTTAGAACACACACCTCAAATAATTCTTAAATGATTTTTGACACTTTTAGTAAGTTTTGAGCGCCATCTCGGACAGCGGTGGGAATGGCCAACCGAGATTTGACAGATTAGTATTAGATAGAATAGAACGAAAGCGGATTAATAGATTTATTGGTACCAATTAAAATAATAATGGTAGTTAAAAATTCAGTTTTTAATTTGTTTAATACTTTTTCATTAAAAAGTTCCCGAATAATAATCCTACGGTACAATGTTTCCTACAAAAACGTTTTTTTTTATATCATTCAAGGTTCTACAGCTCTCACAAGAGATGGCGCTGTTTAAAATGTCAGATATTGATTAAATGTCACGAAGCCAAATCACAGAACAGCTGTGCTGAAATCAATACAAATAGAAGCGTTCATGAACTGTAAATAGAAACTTGGAAAACATAATTATCATCAACTGCTAACGTAACCCTATTATAGAGCATGGTATTAAAATGTGAAGTAGAATGACAGAGTACACAGTATTTGATCAATTTTGCATCCACAATGCTATACCAAAAAATATTATTAATGAAAAATGCTTAAAGAATCCATTTTTTCCCTGGCACTCTGAGATGAGACTTGAACCCACCCTATATTGTGCAATATGTAAGAAAGAATTTGAGTCATAATAACGCCATCTTCCTAGCGAAATCCATTTTTACATTGTCACACTTTATAGATTAACCAGGGACCATCGCCATCTTTCAATAATCGATTTGTGTTTCTTATAATATCTAACTTTCAAATAAATTTTAATTTATTTTAAGCGTAAGATTAAGTTATTTATTGTGTTACGTGTAAAGGAACGATGTTTGGTTTATACGTCAAACTTATTGGTTGCTCGTAACTTTTACTCGAACACAGGTTTGGAATGAAGAACAAAAAGCGGAGCGCAGAATTCAGCTTGTATTTGTAGGTGTCATTATGCATCCACAAAACGAATCATATTAATATAAATATTAATGGACGATTTAAAAGTACTTTTAAGAAGTCTATTTGAATAAGGGATGATCGATATAAGAAAAACATCGATGTTGACATCGATGTCAACATCGTAAGCCCAACATCGATGTTCGATAATTATTGAAAACTGAACATCGATGTTGGAAAACATGGATGACGTTTTGCAATAATTTACAAAGAAATAAAATAAAGTGAAATCTTTAGAAATTTATTAAGAAACAGATCAAATTATTACATATTCCAATGTTTATTATTAACTGATTGAAGGAAAACTAATTTTGATAAGGTAGAACCTTTTGATTTATTTCTTTACTGATTAAAAGTAAAGCCAGCCTTTGTAAACATGTATGTAAAATATGTATTTTAAGATATATAAGTATTATATACATAAAAACTCATATGTATTGCATAGAAAAAAAGAATCTTCTAAAACCTTTACACCTTCAGTGCGAAATAAATGCAGCAAGCAGTTAGTATCGTAATATTCTTACAGGCAATTATTAATTTTATTTAATTTTGTTCTCAAAAAAACTTATAACACTCATTGAAGTACGTTATCGGTGAAATTACTTCAAAAGTACAACTTTACTGGGCAAAGACATAGTAAGCCGAATAAATAATTTATCATACCTGTGTATCGATTCCGAAGTTTTATGATTATTAATGAGGAAGTATTCAAAAAAAATAAAGAAACTACATACATTTGTGTCACTAGATGGCAGCACAAATTGTTGGATCTAAAAGTCAATTCATGACGGTAAACCAAAGAGAATAGAATTGTCAGTGTTGTTATGGATCTGATAACACGGATTGTACAAAGTAATCTTTGAATTAATTTATTTTTTATTTGTATAGAGGAAAATGGAAACTAACATAATGGAAGTGAGCACAGAGGTTTTTTTAAATTTATGGAAATTAATTGAATCAATGCTGTGATACAATTAAAATTGGCATTTTAGCTACGGTATACAATAATATTACCGCCGAATAGTTTTTATAAATAAAATACTTATGCCATAGTGGGTCTAGGAATTTTTAACAAAAGTTCTGAAAACAATAATATCTAGGTAAGTTAGTTTTATTGCTGCTATTAGTTGTTTGTTGAACTTACAAGAACAAAACTACATCAACTCTCAATAATATTTTTATAATATGTATGGTGAATTAATTAATATGGTTTATTAATCAGCAACAAAAGTCATAAATATGATAAAAAATACGTTTATTATCTATATACTTACCCGATATGTATCAAATATACTAGGTATTCGTACAAAATAACATGACTTCTGGCTAAAAGACGTTTGTTCTAAGAGAAACGTGCAAGTAACTTGTGCTTTCGAAATTAAGATTATATTAAATCTTATATTCATAATTAAATCATCTTAATAAACATTCAGCAATCCACAAGAAACATCTGTTCTAAACGACCAGCAAGGTTAAACATTAAATTTCAAGATCACAAAGACACGTACAGTTATTATACTATTGCTACTGATCTTGCATGTCGACGGCGGACGTCGAGCCATGTGTTAAGTTAATTCGTACGGTGGGTATGTGCTTTTTGGTTCTTACAATAATATCGTTAATAATAGATTGACTTTTTACACAACCTACTCTAGAAATCAGTTTTATTAAAATATATATTATTTGGTAAGTATCTAGAGTAGTCATGTTTTCTTAAAATCTCTGCGGTGGTGTCGTGTGCGTTAGGTCGTTACGTTCCCTCTAATATACTCTAGAAATCAGTAGTCAATAGTATATTTGAAATTAAAAAAGCAGCCGTTGCTGTGTTTATTGCCGATTCTTGTCAGTACAAAATCCCCCGCCTTAGTTTTGCGAACCATTGGCATACATAGTTTTCGAATGTCACAAGTACTATGTAACAGCCTAGACTGAATTGATTTTGATATTTATATTAATATCATTCGTTTTGTGGATGCATAATGACACATACAAATACAAGCTGAATTCTGCGCTCCACTTTTTGTTCTTCATTCCAACCTGAATTCGGATGAAAGTTACGAGCAACCAATAAGTTGGCTCATCACTAATGTTGATGTATCAACTAAACATAATAAACAACTTAAACTTACGATTAAAATAAATTAAAATTAATTTGAAAGTCAGATATTGTAAGAAACACAAAATGATGTCATATTTATTAATTTTCGATACTCAAACAAAATTCGATTCGCGGGACTAGAGGGGTTGTAAGACCTTCTTGGTCACATTCGGGTGTTTTCTCATTTGAGGAGTCTCATTTGGGAGAGGGCTCCTGGCCCGTGCCCTGGCGGTAAGCCAGAAAGCGGCGGTGTGGTTCGGGTTGGGCGGGTGTCCTAGGGGTAACCTAGGTAGCGGACGCGCCGACGAGGGCGATAGAGTCGTCGTGTCATGGTGCCATGAGCGGCGGGCGTCCTTTTCAGGGCAACCACCGGCCGACCCGCACCTCTGCGCTGAGTGGAGATGGGGTGGCTACCCTTAGTTGGGCGACACTGGGAGAAAGGTAACCTCATTAAAAAACCACCAACCCTTGGCGACGTGGGCTACAGGGAGAATGAGTATCTGTATTTGCCTGCAACACGACCTCTGGTGGAATTTATTCAACGACGAAAACGTCCTATCATTGGTCGTTGTCACAACCAATCACGATTCTGTTTACTGGCCTGTGACGTCATCAGCTGTCATGTCAAAGTAGTGTTAGAAAGATACATAAAATATCGATGCCTGTAGGTATCGAGTACTTTATAGTAATTTACTGACAACAGAATACTTTGCCGCTTCTACTGATAAGAACTGCCAAAAAGAAATACAGAAAGAAAGAATCATTTGCTAAGCTTTTTAAAAATTCCAAGAAATAGGGAAAACGCCTGCAATTTAAAAAAAGAGCAACTTACATGTTTTTCTCATTTCTTGAACTTTAATATAATAATTCATAATTACAAAGTCGATTTTGATGATATATACTGTTCTCCAAGTTAAAAACTAATTTTAATAAATCATCGGGATCTGATATCTCATTATCAAATGTCATGCATTTAGTGAACAGACGTACTACATGCATGTATAAAAAAAAAATAGAACATTCTTTATCGTACTAATGTCACATCTATCTGTAGGTCGACAGGCTGTAAAGTGCGAGCCCTGTCAACAATTATAAATGAGTCGTAAAATGTTTATGACTTAGAAAAAAACCAAAAAGAAAACCTTCAAAAGTATCGATATGAAATAAAAAAGTTTCAATACTTTTAGCGAATCCTTACCTAATTTTGTCACCCATCTCTACTCTATATAGCTACTATTGTGATTGTGAATCTATTTTCTTCTAGACTCGAAGTTTGTTTGTTATTTATAAAAGTATTAGTACATTGTGGCACTACGCACCACTTGTAGCTCATTTTTTAAAGACAACCAGAGCAGAGGAAAATAAAAAACGTAAAAAATACGTACTACGACTTCAATTTCTCTTCTAAATTATTATTTCAAATTACTCTAAAGACAGTTGTTACTTATGGATTTGACATATTTACTGGCCTGTGACGTCATGTTCAGCGCCATTACAAAAAGCAGCGTTTTTCGCGCGCTTTTGGCTATTTAAATTTTAACAATTATTTTCACCAATAATAGAAAAGATTCCAATGAAATATTATGACAGTGTGTTTATAATGTAGCAAACAACGATTTCAAATAGTTTTCAAAAAAGTGTCAAATACCCTATTCGAGGTGAAATATAACATAATACAGTATATTGTGTATTTAGACTAGCTTGAAGATAGAGCGGTTCATTCTTTCGAGCGTCTTCACCAAAGGAGAAAGACCGGATTGTTTGGAGGGGATATGGAATACTTCAAAAATCGACAGGCCCCATGATTGCTCAGCTAATGGAAAGAGCGGCGCAGATTATAATAGACGTTGAAAATACCGTTCACAGAATGGAAAGAGAGAGGGAGAAAGAGAGAAGTGAACTTCAGCTTAGGTGTGATAGGTTGGAGCAAGAGAAGAAGACCTTGGAAGTCGAATTCTCTAAGACGAAACGGAGAGACAAAAAAGAGACTGGTACCGAGTATGGGTTTTACATTCCGAAGAAGGAGTCGGGATGCCAGACGGAGATGTTGAAACCTGCAAGGAAGCCTGCGAAGAAAGATTTTGCCTTTCAAGTCGGGAGTTCGGGACGTGGTGTAGAGCAGCTGCCTCGACTATAAGCCGGAAGCCGATGCCTGCACCAAAGAGAAAAAATAGGAAGGGAACGACCGGATCAGACGCGCGGCCGGCTTCAGTGGGAGGACAGCGCACCTGGGCCTAGGTGGTCGAGCGTCCGGGTGGGAAGAGTTTGAAGGTAACTAATATGCCCTCTGCTTCTGTTGCCTTGGAGCCGCCCCCCACCCATAAGAAGCTGGGTAGGCATAAGCCAAAGATGCCGAATACCACGGTTGTGGTACTAATGATCCCTCCCGAAGCGGAAGTCAGGGGGGTGTCATATGAGGAGGTCGTAGCTAGAGCGAAAAGAGAGATTGCTCTCCCGTAACTGGGCATTTCGGAAGGAGTTATGGATACTACAGTATATATAGCAAATAAAATAAGTAAAAGTAAAAATACAAGCTGAAAACCGTACTGATCACATTTTGATTTTGTTTATAATCGTTAATTTATGATACAATATGAGCAAGTGAGGATCGAATACTTGGCTGTATAAACTTACACGTTGCCTATGGATTTTCATTAAAAAAAATCTTTTTGCTCTCTTTGCCATCTCTTTGTCCTATTTTTTTTATTTGACGCATGCCAAAGAAGCTACTTCATCTGTGCGCATGCCTGCTAGGGTTTAGTTTGATATTGATCGATTGAATCCTTTCATCGTTAGATTCCCATCTCATTTAGTGTTTAATGAGAAGTTAGATTCGTGATAGTTACTACAAAAGTTGAATTAGTCGGTGTTTGTGTGTAAATGAAAGAATTAGCAGGCACATTCTAATAATTATTAATAAATAGGTAACGTTATGTATACGTTGGTAGAATAGTATACAATTATTCTATATTATTAATTCTACGTCAAGTAATTTTAACACTTGTGATCTGTTTTCATAAGTTAAGAATTTAACTAAAATATATTTATAATGTATTCCGGTGTGCTTAATACAAAAATAACAATATTTTGTTTTATCGTCAGCCTGAAATTAAGTAACGATGGATATCTCATAATCGGTAAGTGTCAAACGAATGTTATTGATTTTTATAGTTTAGTCGGAAAAGCGCAATAATAAATGTTGTATTAAGGTATTAAGGAATGATTAGTATGAATTTATTTTTTAATTAAAGACTGGAGACCATAATAACTATCAAATATATAGTCTAAACGTAACAAAAATTTTTTTTGGTCATATTAATAATCTCTTACTTTTTGTTAAAATTCCTGCCCAACAAAATCAATGACTGCATATAGCACCCTATTGCTAAAGTATTGATTTTGCTGGGCTAGGTACCCATTGCCATTTTATATCTTTGTCTTCTTGTCATTTTTGTATTTTATTTTGTAATGCCCTTTTTAAGTAGAGAGATAAAACTATATTATTACATTTGCGAAATTACAAGTTCTGATATTTTTAAACAAATTAAGATTAATATCAACGGATATATATATATTGATATATATGTTTATATGTCAATTGATATTTATTGTTAGTTTGAGCATTGAGTATTGAGTATTAGCTAGAAAATTAACCAACCAGATGTAACAATGGCAACATTGGCCTGAAGTAGCAATCTTACTTACTACTAAATAGGTGATTTGTTAGGAGTTTGCCTATATGTTACTGGGAATCCTCACAGGCATACTACTTTTTAATTATTTTATAATAAATAAAAAAATAAATCTCAATCTTTATTAATGGGCAGCAAACATTTGTATCTAGCTTTATAGCTACTTTTGCACAGGGTTTGTAATTATCAAGTTTTTTTTTATTATTATCCAATTGATATCTATCTCATAATTGTTCATAGTTACTGGCAACAATTTTTTAAATACAGAAGGCATTTCGAATTGAATGAACTTTTATTTTTGTCATTTTAAATTATAAAAAAATATACAAGCAAAATACGTAAAAAAATATTTACTGTTATTTTGGACAATAAAGTGAAATGAAAATATAAATAAAAAAAATTTTTTTTGTAAAAAGGGACTTTTATTTCTTTTTTGTTTTGTAGGTCTATTCTAGACAATTTTCTGTATCAGAAAAACCACATTGATAGTTTTAAAAGACAATTCTCCTTTAATTACAAGTCCTAAAGTACAAAAAGAGTTTGTATAGTTTTATAATTATTATTAATATAATTCTCGCTATAATTATCAATCTGAACCCTGCTTTTGCATATAAACAATTATAATTTAAAGACTATATTTTGAAGACCGCTGTAGCAGAGTGGTTCGCAAGCCAGTTTCAAGGTGTTGCCATCTTTGAGGATTTGATTCCCTTAAATCAGGGTCTGGGTATTGTGGTACCTTCGTTGTCTCAGATACTTCATAATATGGAGGCTTTAGCTATTAAACTTCTTTAATACTAAATATGAGTAGCTAAAGCCCTAACTATCTTTTATGTAAAAGAACCAGTCATTTTGTTTTATTTTAGGAGATATATAGAAATTTCAAATTTAGGCATCTAGGGACTGACAGCTCTGGTTAGGGACTGATAAACAATAATTATATTGTAATAAAATATGTTGGCTATACATTTGGAATCATATTTATTTGTAAAATAATTTGAATATAATCACATAAGACAAAAAACAGTTCGTTAACACTTTTACACATAATTAGTAATACTCTTTTTTTATAATAAGCAGTCATTATAGGCATATGAAGTTAAATTCTTCAACAGTCAAAAGTTTTACTAAAGAAATTGAAGTAGAACAATATTTTTAAATACTTTTTTATGTAACACTACAATAGTAAAAACAAAAAGGCTTAGTGTTCAATCCCAAAAAACTTTCCTTGAATGGGGCAAGATGATATCAATGAAACCACCGTTCAAGTGAATAGATTCAATTTTATGTTCAAAAAGAAACCTTATGATCTATGACTTATACATACTAGCAGAAATCTTAATACCGCGATTCAGAACAGACCAAACAATATTATGTTAAACAAATGGCAACATCTAGTTTTAGTTATGAATAAACCACACCTACAGTTTACTGATAATCATGTATAATATAAAACTAATTTACTTCAATAACTACGCTAATGCGTTAACACTTAGCCTAAAATAAAGTAAATAAAATCAACAATCTAATAGATCAAAGACAAAAAAAAAATGTATTATTTTAATATTCAGTATATTAGGTGCGCGGAAGTGCTTGTTACCGCCTAAGGTATGTGAGCGGCAGGTAGGTAAATGAACGTCAAGCAGACTCAGTCTGTCGTCGATCGCCGTGACGGTTAGACGATTCAGTTGTTTGTGCCATTTTGTTCGAAACATACATGTCTAAGATGAGTCTGCCAATTACACGATAAGGGAAAAATGTTATTTACAATGTCCAGAACGCAAATATGATATGAACATTAGTAATTCGAATCTGCAAACATCGGAAGTCCTGAAATTTTCGTCTTAACGGAAACCTAAACAAATAAAGAGAATCCATATTGATGATTTTAACATGGGTGTAATACGAATAAAAATTTATCAGTTGTATACTCAAATTTAATTGTATACTGTTGATAAAAAAATCCCAAGTACTCGTAAGTTTGCAGTTTTAAAAGTACCTATTTAAGACAGTTTTTACACAATATGGGATATTTCTTTACAAAATGTAAATCAAAGAGACATATTTTTGATTAAGAGACCCATCATAGCTGAATGGCGAGTAAACTATTTAAGAGCTATACGGAAATATGGAAAGGAAAACCGAAACATATAATTTTTGGACGAAACCAACGTTAACAGTAGCCACAACTCCAAAACGTGTTGGCAATCCGAATCTGAGCCTGGTATTTATGATGATATTGGCAAAGGGCGTCTTTTAGTGATGGTTCATAGTGGTAGTTGAGACGGATTAGTTGACGGTGCTTTAATTACCCGACTGCACGCCGCAAAGGAGGGTAATATGTTTATCAGTCTATGTATGTGTGTTTCTATGTGGCGTTCTAGAGACCAAATGCGTAGGCTGATTTTGATGCTTCTTACGTTAATCGATTCTTCTGAACAGCGACAACAAGACGCCATAATGTCAATAAGAAAACAAAATCGATTAACTATGTCTAGTGGGGTGTCGTTGAATAGGTATTTTATAATCATCTTTAGGTTCCTTTTATCATTTTAAATAATAGTTTAGGATATATAAGTTGTTTAACAAAACGATCATTCTCGCAATTTTTTCACTTATTGATTTAAGTTTTTATTTAAAGTATAAACAATATACAAACAAAAAAACAGCGATAAAGCACGAAGAACAAATATTTTAAATATTACCTATGGTCTTGTTCACATAGGGGGCTGTCCATTAATCACGTGAGGCTCGAAAGGGGGGGGAGGGGTCCATAAAAAAGTCACGAAATATCACAAGGGGGAGGGGGGGTAAAGTAACATATCACGTGTATTTATTTTTTCGACAAACGCGCGATACTCAACCGAAAAGCGGCGTAAATAAGTGTAATAAAATTATTTTTTCGTCAAACGTTCATTAAATAAAAATATTCATAAAGTTTTTCGCGTTCCTTTCATTATTTTTGTCAATCAAAAAACAATCTGCAAGTCCTGTAATCTTTCTGTCTACCTCTAGACATTATTGTACTCTTTTATTGTCTATAATACAATAAGAAAATTAAGATTCATTGTAAGTACTAAAAATACACGTGATATATGGGGAGGGGGGGGGTAGTCTTAAACCTCACCATGTATCACTATGGGGGAGGGGAGGTTAAAAAATGCTAAAAAAAGCATCACGTGATTAATGGACGGCCCCTAGCAATGGGTGTTATAAGGGCAATTGAGTGGTCAGCTCTTCGAAGGGACTAATTGGAACATGGAGAATTGCCACAGGTTGTTTATACCTATAGAATTTAATGACAAAGCAATTAAAAACAATGTTCCTGGAGTAGGAGTCAGAATCGAACCATCAACGACGACACTTTGCGAACAGGGTAAAATAGAGCGAAAAATGTTGCCTTTGATATTGTGCTGGGGTGTAACTATACACAAACTCCAATGAACTACACGCAGTCCTCGACTTACGTCGTTTCAAGTAACGTCAAACAAATTTTGACACTGTTCATCAAGCATATGTCATTTGTTTCGATTTCCGGCATAGGAGAATTTATTTGTCACGAGGTCAAGGTCCGTGGGGTTTTAATGTTAATAACAAAATTTGTGCAACCTGTCAGTGTTACCAAGACCTGTATGATAACAAGAAGAAAGAAGCGAAGCAATCGAGCATTGATAGTTTCTTTAATCCAAAGGTTTAATTAATTATTTCTCATTGCATATTTTGATTATTAAAGTTTTATAATTATTATTGAAATACCAAAATAACGAGCAAATTCATAATTACATTTATAATTATTTTAAGTTAAATTACTTACTTTTGATAATAATGTATGTATATCCTTTGTTATAAATTTAGTTTTTTTTTATTTTGAGTCCGTGTGGAACCTGACCCTTGAGTTTTACATGTAAAGATATTAAAAAACATGTCTCGATTTACGTCGTTTCGCTATACGTCGCGTATTTCGAGAACCTAACATGCCGTAAGTACGATGACTGCCTGTACTTTGGACCGATCTATGGTTGACTAATGTTTTGCTAAAGGTCAAGCATATGTAGCTTTGAGCCGAGTTAGGTCTCTAGAGGGACTGATCATCAGTAGTTTGGACCACCGCAAGTTACTTAATAAGACTAGATTAATTTTGCCATCTTATGACGAAGTCAACGAATCGTAACTAAAAAGTATAAAACAAAAAAAAAAACAAAAAACCCGACTGCGTTAAAACGAATTTTAAAAAATACATGAAAGTATTAACTTAAACAAAAACTTAAAAGAAGGAAATAAGCCCAGTAGTTTAGAATTCTGCTAAGCAATACTTAATAACTACACAATTTAAATAGTTTCATAATCGATACACATATAAAACAAATCATAAATTCTAATGCAGAACAGAACGACTTACAGTCGGAGCCCATTCAAATTTTACCAATCGAATCTTTCCAAGGGGC